TTTTTTATTTAAATTCTTAATTTATTTCAATTTAAAAAATGTCCAAGTTAAAAAGTGGTAAGTGTAATTTTTGAAAATATTATTTGTTATATAAGTTATATATATATATATTTTTTTTAACTTCGCTCTCCACTTGTTTTTGATAAAAAGACATGGCGCTCATTACACCAGAATCATTCTTATACGATCTTCAAAAATACTTGTCGATTTTCCAACACAATCTTAACTTGGAAAGATTCTTGGCATTAAACGAACAAATGTTAAGATCCATCAATATTATGAAAAGATCACATCGAATTGTTCTAATAATTTACATTAAATACATTAAGAGACTTTTTAATTATCATAATGAGATTGGTCAACACTTGACATGGATTATTAAAAAGTACACCGATACAGATTATCTTTTAACAATTAAGGAAGTTATGGAAGAAGTTCCCAATAACAAAACTCCCAATAACAATCATGTGATCGGCTCACACGTGAATGGAGATATCAAATCCATTACCGAATTACAAGAAATAAATTCTTGTAATTCACTGCAAACAACTTCGACACAAAGGCAAGAAAGTAATGATGATATAATTCTGACTCTCGACATAAAGTATGGGAAGGATAATGAATTGCCTTCATATTTAGAAGTGATTAAGCATGAACCAGGACTTACTACATGTGAAAGCTGTGAAACTTTACCGGCTTATTCTTGTAGTGTTTTTAAAGCCGGTTATGTTCTTAAAAAGGATGAAATGGTATCACATGGTGTTAGGGCAAAACGTAGAACATGGAAGTATGTATATTTTTAGACTTGTCCACTTTTTTCTTGACTTTTGCTAATCATCATTAATTTAAACAGAAAGGTTTACCTATGTTTATGGGGTACACTATTACGAATTTATAAAAGTGAGCCACTTGATACCAATGTAAGTTAGCAATTCTTATTATCGTTATGACTTATCTATAGTTATCTATAGTTATCTATAGCGATGGGTTAACCCGAATTAAATCACACTGGTAACTTTAATCACGTGCACGTGCCTATCGCTTATCGGTGGCTTTAATTCGAGTGAAGATAGAAATCTTTTATATTTGTATCAAATATTAATGCCCATATTTAATCATTAGTGTGTAGCACCAATACGAGAATTTAGCATGAATCGCGCTGAAATAGGTCTCGCTGTTGATTATGCTAAACGTTTTCATGTTCTCAGAGTTTATGTAGCAACTGGTTATCAATTTCTATTTCAAACAACTAATCGAGATGATTCTATATCGTGGATTGAGAATTTTCAATCTTCTGTTAACATTTCGTCTTCAATTGACGACCGAGAGATGCCAATGTTTATAACTTTGCCAGCAAGATTTCAAGGAAATGTTAATACATTACCATTTGTTCCTTCTACAAATACTAGAAATCGCGATTATAATGAATTAGGTAGAAGTAATTCAGGTAATAGGAATAGTTCATTTATTGAAATAATTTAAAATAATTTAAAATAATTTGAAATAATTTGAAATAATTTGAGGATGAATGTGAGAGTATGACTCATCAAACTTTTGATAGGATTGATAATTTACTTTCATATTGTTGCTTTAAAAAGTTACTACAATTGTACGCACATCATATGAAATTTTTTATAAGCATGTTTATTAACCATATAAAAATTATATAAGCAATAATGTAGGTTTTAAATACGTATACGTAGTCTGGTTCACAAATTTAATAATAAAAAAAACATTAGTATAATCAACAAATATAACCTTTATATAAATTATTAAATAATGCCAACTTTCGTTAGCGTTAGATTTTCGTTAGACATTAAAAATTTGTCAAATCAAAATTATCGTTGAAATACTTTTCCGACTTCGGTAACCGTTCAGCAGGATTAATAACGATAAAGAATAATCATTTACGAAATTGTATAAACTGTATAACAATAATGGGAACTAATACTCATATGTCTCCCAACATTTCGTACAAAGTAAAACTTCCATGCAAGCTTGGATAACATTACAGATATTACTTTATAGAAAACCGGTTTTGCTGATGATTTTTCTAAACATGTTTGGGAAAGAATTTAAACAAAGAACAAATGAACAGATAATTGGTGCCGATTTTGATGTGCTAAAAGACTTCGAAAATTTACGCTATTCTGACAATCTAACAGTATCTCGATATAACACAATAAATCATTATAAAATAATGCAAAAAAAAAGTATGTAATATATATTAAAATAAATTTTATATAATTTGCTTCTATATAATAAAATTTTAGTCTAATGGTACACTCCCCTGACATTGATCACCGGAATTTTGATTTTCACGTTACCTAATGATGATCGTAGCCACATATGTAAC